TTTTTTATTTTTTAATCTTTTTTTAAAAGGTTCCCGACAGGATAAATAGTTGTGCAAGTTTTCTTAATGAAACAATATTGTGCAAATGAAACAAGGAACCACAGCATTCCTATAAAATAGATTGCTAAAATAAAAATATAAGGCATTTCAATTCTGATATCGAAATCGCAGTCGCCTCCTACAGATTCGTATAATTAAAAAAAATAAGAATAATCTTTTTAAATTGTGTCACGTGTATCACGATTCTCCTGAAAATTATGTGTCTGCCTTCAGAGTTATAAACTAAATTTTGAATATTTCGTTCATAAGATCTATTTTAATTTAGGTTTTTCATAATAATTAAAAAGATAAATAACAAGCCTAGATAACAACAAAAATAGCAAGCCATTAGCAAAATCGAAGTCATCGCTTCCCCACCCTAGCTTAGTAACGGGTGGTTAACCCGGGGGCCAAATGCAGTACGTCAACTCGGCACCTATCTGTGGCTATTTATGCATGCCGCGCCATTTTTTATTTACGTCCAATCGCAAATATCGCGCCCTGTTGCCTTTGTTGTTTATAGTCTGTCCGTTCATTCAATATAATGATAATAAATGTTAATCGTCAAAGAGGCAAGTACCAACACATTCTATAAACACTGATAATACGTGGAAGATTTTTTTTACAATCCTTAAACCATCAAAAGGTGGATTATATGTCTAGGATAATCCCTACAGGCGTTTTGGGCTCCACTAAACACCCCAACGTAATACTTCACCCCGAGCTTTTACGGTCCATTAATTTTTGACTTAAGTTTGACGTCACAGCTCTCCACTCTGACGTCATTAAAAGCAGTCTTAGTAGAGAAACACGCAACGTACAAGGAGGGAGTAAAAAATTAATTAACGTTCAACCACGCGAACTTTTGCACCATGTAACACACTTTAGGTCTTCCATTCGCTCTATAAAGCTGTTTCATTATTAAATCATTCAATCAGAATTATTAAGAAAAATCATAAAAGGAAAGTGAGTACGTCTCCTTATAAAATAATATACTTGAGCAATGCATATAAACAAACAGTAAACAAATAACAGTGTGAAATATAATCATACGAGTAAAGAACAAAAACATTTTAAATAACAGTTTTCATTATATCAAAGAACATACAAATTATTGTTACCGGCACATTTCACGTAAACTCAACTTTTGTACAGCGCTACGAAGGCTACGTAAAGCTTTAATAACGCAGCGTAGCCGCTACGCAAATATCACAGGTTATTCACGGCCAGTTAAATTAACGGCTTTGCGCCATCCGACCGGAATATCCAGCTCGCTAGCATGGTCACGGTACACGCACAGCGATGCTTGCCAATAAGGCTGTAACTCGACCACGTTAAATACGATGTTTCCTTCTTATTTTTCCATACGCATTTAGTAAATACATTCTGTTGGTATTTTTCTTTAGTAATACATGCATAGTAAATTTGGCTTTCAATTTTATTTTTACTAGCTTAAACATCAATAAGAATGACCTAACAGAATTATTACTTGATAGCAAATTATGAAGAAATTTGCTGCATGGTTTGGAAGTCAATAAAATCATAAGACTATTTTTTGATGTGATTTAGAACGTAAATATCTACTCATTTTTATATGCAATATTCGATATGACATCTTTGTACCGTACTTACGCTGTTCATCCTTAATAAATTCATGTTTAAATTTAAGACAGCGCATATGGGGTTAGCACAAAGTTTCGTTAATTTTATCTAACCCTTTGGTTGTAAGCTTTTTTAGAACTGGTGTGCAAACATCATATGACTCATAATTATTACATTTTTAAACAATTTTAAATAAAAAAAAAATATAATTTAGTATTTATAACAAACAGTCGGTACCAAACAAGAAGCGACGCCTTTAAAGTGGTCAAGTTAAAAGTCAAACAGTAGTCGCATAAGCGACGGCAGGTGCGGCGTAGCGTCCCCCGCATTCCCACGGGCTTGGCGTTACGCGTTTTTTCACTTTCGCTTCGCGTTGTTTTTATTCGTCACGTGACTAAATCGTCAACAATAGCGTGTTCGACGATAGAAGTTCATCGCGTGACGCTTCTAACTGTCTGACGTTGGGGCGTGACAGCTTTGTGCAAACGGATGGAAATACTATGTAAATGTAATTTGAGCGAGTCGTGGCAGTCTCACTAGCTGGAATACCAATAGTATAGAATAATAATAGTCTTGAAATTTGTATCGTTCGAATCCCAGCTAGCCACAAGGTTTTTAAGATTTCCTTAGTATCAAAAGCATACGAGATCAGTGTTAAACATCAAATGACCACGTAAATATGTCTAGCGTAGACAGAGATAGAGGATATGTTGGGTTGAAGACGTGAAGCGTCTCATTTTGTTTATCAGTTAATTCACAATAAAACGTATATAGACTTGTATTACCAGAAAATCGTTACTCAAAATGCTTTTCTCTTTGTTTAAGTTGTTTTTCGTTCATTGCAATGTAACATTTTAATAGCTTATTTCTAGGCATGTCACATGCTCTTGTTCTGGGCGTTCGCTTTATAAGTAACGAAATTGAACCCAAACGTGTTACGGATAATTTATGACCCTAGAGTGGCAACTAGCGATTGGGTAAGCGCAGTAACAATTAGCGGTTAACTGGGCGAGATAACCTCGATTGTCCGTTATCGGTACCCTTATGGTCTCAGTATAGATATTCAAATAGTCCACACTTTCTTTACATGCTTAGTAATTTATAGGTATGTAGCTGACTCGGCAAACGTTGTTTTGCCATATAAATTACTTCAACTTTAATTATTTTTACACAGACATAGTTGACAGGTTGATAGGTGCAGTTTGTATGGGAAAATAAAATTGTTGCTAAAATTGTGCTTCGATTTTCCATGCAATTTTTCCATAATTTCTCATCGTTTAAACCTTCCCACAAGGTTTAGTTCCCTGGACTGCCACAAATATTTCAAACCTAAATTAGCCAAATCGGTCCAGCCGTTCTCAAGTTTTAGCGAGACTAACGAACAGCAATCCATCTAATATATAAAATTCTCGTGTCACGGGGTTCGAACTTGAACTCCTCCGAAACAGCTCGACCGATTTTTACCAAATTTTATATGCGTATTCAGTAGGTCTGAGAATCGGCTACTATCTATTTTTCGTCCCCCTAAATGTTAAGGGGGTAGTCCACCCCTAAATTTATTTTTTATTTTTTATATAAAACTTTTTGTTTCTATTTTTTTATGACACAACATACAAAAATACATACAACCCTAAATTTTCACCCCTCTACGCAGACGTAGTCGCGGGCAGCAGCTAGTTTTTATATATAAGAAGATTATTGCTTACCATCTATTTAACATGCCTATCATTGAATCTTCGTGGCAGACGTTAAAGTATGACATAAGCTTATAGAATGTGTCTAAAAACGGTGCGTTCTTGTTAAGCTTTACAAAAAAAAATTGTGTATTTTTAACCTAAAAATTTGTGTGTTATTGTGTGTTCCGTACCAATAAATAACTGACGGTAGCTCGGTTAATTCGGACATTAGGCCGTAAAATATCTCTGTGTCCGGTGACCGTGACCGCTATAAATTTTTCGAAACGTAGAGAAAACCGAATAGTTTAAAATAAAACACAATAAAGTCCCTAAAATACGTCAAATCGTTTAATTTAACCAAGCTTGGCAAATACAAAGTTAAAGCACATACGAACCTTTTACAGTTGAGACGACAACGCTGCGTGTTTCTCATGCCGTACAGAAGCGAGTCGTCCAAATAAAAATTATGGGTGTATTCACAGACATTAGCGTGTCACATTAAAAGGACAAATATGACACGAGCTAAAACGTCCCCCGGAGGCGAACGGGACTTGCCGAGGTCGTTTTGGCTCCCCATTATGCTCCGGCTCATTGGTTCCAACCGATACAAAGTCGCCATGACATGCGCGATTTTCTATTTAACAAATTCGTTGTCTAGTCATTGGTACGGAGTCTATATCGCGAAATCGCTTTTTACCACATTACAAGATTTACAACATTTCGTAAAGCTTAATAATAAACAAAGTTTTTCAACTTACGCTACTTTTAGCGCATTTGGGAAAAGTTATAAGAGAAAATGTTTTTGTTAAATTATTCATAGAGTTCTTTTATTTGCCGATGATTTTATAGATGACGATCCGATTGGCGTGTGGAGTAGTGTCCCTGCCTCCTGCGCCAGAGGGTGTGGGTTCGATTCCCACTACTGGAAAAATAATGTGTGATGACATCGTGTTTTTCCAGTGTCTGGGTGTTTATATATGTATAATATGTATTTATTTACAAAAAAAAAGTATGTTTATCAGTTTTCTAGTAACTATAGTACAAGCGTTGCTTAGTTTGGGACTAGAGAACGTTGTGTAAAAAATGTGTCCGAATATATTTATATTTATATTTTGGCATCAGTGTGACCAAAATTCTATAATGTGACCTAAAATGATGTCTTGAGATCTAGTTTTGGAATTTAGTGTGCTTTAGTAGGACGTATCAATTTCCAACCGGATTCCAGGTCAGCCTGAGAGCGGACGACTAAGTTTATCTTTGTTTTGGTTGCAATAATTAATTACTTAAACGTTTGATTGGTCGGCCGTTATGTGGATGAACTAGATTCCCGGTTATCACCTGGCTTATTTGATAACGTTGTGGCAGCTGTATTTATGCTGTAACGCCTAGTTTCTAGGTTAGTGGGTCAGACAAGGATTGCATACAGACTCAAGATAGGCTTATACGCTTTTTTAATCGAGAGACTGGATTTTTAATTATTCACATAATCAACTTTATCAGATCACTGTAAATTGTTATCCAATTATACTGCGATATATTTTGGTTTTGCGAGTTGTATCCTTGGAATTAGATGGATCTGCAAAATTGTTTTTACTTTCCATTTATCTACACATATGCCCAGTTTTAGTAATGTCACTCAATTTGCAATCAGACTGATTTAAATTTAAATTTCTCCATCCGCAGGCCTTCAAGCTATTTAAGAGGACCAAGGGCAGGAAGGCGGCACGCAACCGGGTGTCCCCTGCTTTGGTTCGATCCCCTTCCTACAGCGGCACCGTGGACGCGCGCCCCGAGATAGACATGCGGAACTACTGCCCCTGTCGCGCGTCCCTGCCCCCCCTCCACGTAGCGAACGAGTCCTACGAGAACGCCTCGTGCTACAGCGGCTACGACAGCTCCAGCTCGCACCACAACAGCCTGCAGAGCTACGCGGGCTCCAACGACTGCGCGAGGTCGGACTCCGCCTACGAGTCCACGCGTAGCAGCCCCTCCCACCGGCCCGTGTGCTACGCGACGGTCACTTACTTCAACGTTAACGACAGCGACGACAGCTGCAGCATCCACACAGAGTACACCACTCTAGACTACGACCCCAACGCCGAAGAGGACGAGAGGGCCCAGAACGTAATCAATGAGAGCATCGAGCTTGTCAGCACGTTATGAATACATTTTACCTTCTCACTCACTATAGTTCGGTTTCGCTGAGTCACACCTTTCAACAGTCTGTCTCGCTCGCACTCGGTAGACGTAGTGATGGTCCTGTGTAGTGATTGCATATCGATGAATCTGATTGAGAAGGTTATGCGGCATAATCTAGCGGATGCCGATATTTTTCTGAACGGTGGACATTCCTAACTTTATTGACATCCACGGGATGGCTCAGATGATAGCTGCCGTACTTTATGCGTTTTCGTCTTGCATTTTATGTCAATTATAGGCGATGATGAATGGATTGTTCGCCACAATGTTATACCAAAAATTCTGCATTCCAAGTCTTAAATTTGTAAATATATTAGAGACACGCTTTCTTCAGATGTCCTGTTTGTGGTGTGTTTGAAATTAGCATAAAGTTTGTGAGCAACTGATTGCTTTATAGATAGTATTCGTTCTTTAGTTTCCTTTTTCGTACCGAATATCGTGTACCTAATTATTCTGTAGAGATTTCCTGAAAAGTGATTGTCCCTTTGTTGAATTGCTAAAGCCCCTTAATTAATGATTTACCTCTCCAGTTACATATTTTCGAAAGAATAATGTCTTAATATGTTTATAGTTAAAAAAAAAATCTCAGAAAAAAGTTATAACACAAATTTCACATCGCTCCGTCCTACGCATCCTTTAAGTAAAAGAATTACTATTTATTTATTGCTATCACACAATTTGTAAATAATTGAAATGAAATACTAACTTTTTATGGAGTTTACGTGGTTTATTAATATTATTATAAATCTCTGCATCGATAGTTACTTTGATTGGCAGACTAAAGACAAATTTTAAGGAATTATAAAATTGTTTTTAGCAGTAAAAATAGTCTTTCACATTATCTCATGTCTATGTTATGTAATAGGGAAGTTTATTTTAGGGTTGTTACAGAGATAAAAATTAAACATTATCAGACACATATTGTGACCCAGCAGCCCTAAAACTAAATATCTTTTTTAGACAATCGCTCAACGAATCAATACTTCTACGATGTTTCAGTGTTACGTCGTCAACAGTCGCCTCCCCTTTATCTGTTTTAAACCATAATATTAAACGTAGTGTTTATCTGAGACCATTAACTCTAATATAATTATTTACCAACTCATCTCCCATCGTTAGAATGAAATATTATGGAATTGTTTCATAATTGCTTTACCTTTGGGATAAAAATAAACGCGTGTAAGTTTAGATAAGAAAATTTCATTCAATTACCTTTAGAAATTAATTTTATTTCTTTGAAATGCACATAGTTTTATCCTAAATCTTTACTGTACCATGGGTATAATACCAAAGTAATTGTGATACACGATTTTTAACTGTTTTAATAATAGCAATTAAGTTTGTTGATCTCAATCATATTCTATTAGATAATAAGTTAAAAAATATATTTAAGATTATTGTAAGTTGATTATTTTAAGAACGAAGAATATACCTCTGAGTTAAATTAATTCATTGTTTCATTTTATCAATACCACGAGTAAAAATGACCAGATTACTGATATTAATAATTATTATTAGAAATACGTATCATATAAATACTTAAAAAAAATCAATTTCTAATTAAAACTTTTATTCAATTATCTTGCATCGCGTAATAAGAGACATTAGCGAAATATAAATATAAAAAACAAAATATAAAAAACATATATAGAGATATTTAGAGATATTTGCGTAATATAAAGAGTTAAAACTAGAGGAAAACATTAAGTTACGTTATTTCAATAAAGATCTGCATAGTCTAATGTTGGATCTAATGTTGCCAATTTCAATAATATTCATAAACTTAACTCCCAAATGTTTACACTGTCGAACTTTACCCGTTTTACAATACAACACATACAAAGCACTCGTCGCGGGGTTTGCGAACCTGTTTTGGGTACGCACAATAACAAAGGTGGCACGTGGATCGCAAAAAACTAAATGAACGAGTACTTCGTAAAACTAGTGCGTCCGTAAGTTGGTAATAACTATGTATTAAGCGTCAAAAAACGGATTTCACCCTTGGGAAATAATCCTTCACTGGTGGTTTTACAAAAACGATGAATCGCGGACGCAAAGTACATTGTGAACTTACAGAATGTACACTGATTTTTTACCGTTGAATACCGTTTCGATGTTTCATGTCCCTAATATCTTTTTCTCTTTTTAACTGTGGTCAAGTTACATAGGCTGTTGAATGCTGGCTTGCCCGGGGAAGATACGGGGCCTGATATATAAAGTAAAGTAACTACCTATAAATGTGCCACTGCTGGGCAAAGGCCTCCTCTTTACAGAGGGTATCAGAGCATTGCGCACCAAGCGGCCTCACTGCGGATTGGCGGACTTCACATATTTTCGAAATATATTTTTTGTTGTTATTTCGACAATATGCATTAAATTTAAAATTAACAATTTCATTGGTACTGGCACCGGGGATCGAACTTAGGTGTTAGTTATTATAGATGTCCAAGGTTTAGACGTTTCGCCAAATTAACCAAATTCTATACATAATAAATAAGCTTGTCGGCAACACGAGACACCACTGTTGACGAGACACCAGACATGGCATCATTGACTATGATTTAAGCGATCAATGCATCAAGGTGTTGTAAGGCCAATTTCTGCAAAAGAAACAACACTCTGTTAAAGGTGTTTTTTTTTTCAGAAAAGAAATTTATAAGTGCCTTGTCCTGGCCGGGATGACACAATAAAAAGTATACAATATTCCATAATATACAGTGGGAGAATGAGCGCAGTAAAGCAACAGTGAACAATAATATCAAGTCCAGACGCGGCCAGTACGTGGTGTTGCAATTATTATATTTTCCAGTGACATAACGAGCGCATTACAAAAGCGCGGTCTTGTCAATTCAACGAATAATGGCGCCTGCAAACAGGTTCCTTTACATGCTGTCTGCAGTATTATTTACGAGAGCTGTGTTGCCAGCGATCTAAAATTAATATCTTTAGCGCTATTTTTTCTTTTAAAGTACATTTTGTAAAAAAAATATGTTTCGGTTTTTTTAAGCTAAACATATTTCTCGTCATTTTTTATAACTTTTTATAGATGCCATTTGTTTTGTATATTACCTATATATGACACGTGTTCCGGATACGCACCCAGGCACTTTAATCACTAACCTTTAAACATGTAGCGTGGGTTCGACTTCCGGAGCGGAGAAGGACTTTTCGTTCCTTTTTCTACACATTTAAATGTTTCATCTTAAGTGCGGAGATTAGCACTATAAGTATAAAAAATAAAATAAAAAAGACCACTCTTCATAAAGTCATGAAAATTCCTTTAGTCGCATAGCTATGAATGTTATTATAGAAAGCAATAAACATAAAGAAACATTCCTAAAATTTTATTACATTTAATGATTATTTTACACTTTGAAAAAAAGTATCAATAAGGAAAAAGTATCCATGCGTCAGTTATTTAAAGCGTGCAACACTTGCAAGTAACAGCTACACTAGACTTACTCGAAACGAGATAAACCCCGAAACGAGTCTAACAGGTTTAAGAGATTTGCTGAAGATCAATGGGCAAAGCTTCTGTGAATACAATAAATAACAGAACGAACGAAGCGACAGTTTCCACTCATCGTTATTTTGAAATTGCGCGAAACTTTTGTTGTATGAAAAGTTAAATAAAAGCACCTAAACAACTCATTTTGTCGGCGTTACATTATGGGTTTTTGGCGTTATTCCATTATAACCATCGGTCACGGGATAGACTGATACCTAATCTGTAAAGAAGTTATATTTTAAAAAAGTTGTAATCTGAAAAGATAAATACGATTATAAAGGTATGTACTTATATACTATTAAATACACGTTGTGTATATCCAGATAGTGACTAATATGTTAATAAAAATAGGGTGGCGTTTTGTTACGAGCATATTATGCTAAAATAATATGATGTATCGTTAAATTTCAAAAGCTATAACAAAATGAACTTGAAAAAGGACATGTAGGGGTTGTTTTCTTTTGACTATTGGCATTTGTAATGTAAAAAGTCTTTAACGCGAATAAAAAATAGAAATGATTTCACATTTTGCGCGTGGCACTTCTAGGAAGAAACACAAAGAGAGTAGTATCCTTTGCTATAGATACGGATTATTAGAATCGAACACTGTGACAGACAGGCTCTTTAAAAGAAACCTTGAATTTTTTTTTATAAAAAGAAAATTTGGGACAATATTTAATATCCATCGTAATAGTATAGTAGTACAGGTGGTCTGGTTTTTTATATTTAATGGTTTAGGCAGAGGTTTTCCTCCTCCTTTATACAGATATATATATCTATATATTTATACATCACATTTAGTAGAAAAAAAACGTATGGTTGCCTTGATACACGAACATTCCTGTTTGAATTTCAGCGGCATGATCTACCGCTTGACATGTTTAGTTTGCGATGGTCTCTGACGAACAGGTGTCTGTTTTAAAATTAAAAAACTTCTTTTAGGTATATTAGGTTGGTTGTGTAACATACTGTGTTATGATTAACCAACCGGTTGTTGCAACGTCATCTCCTCACAGTATAAGGAACAAAGAAAATCTACTCAACTTCGTTACCCACGTTTACACAGCATAGGTATTAAAGAAGACATATTAATGAATTTAAGTATTATATTAAGTACTATAAAAAAGGCCAAGTGCGAGTCGGACTCGGACACGAAGGGTTCCGAACCATTGTCTATAAAAACGCCAAAAAAAATCATGTCTGTTGTATGGGAGCCCCACTTAAATACTTTTTTTTATTTTGCTTTTTAGTATTTTTTGTAATAGCGGCAACAGAAATAATCATCATAATCATCTGTGAAAATTTCAACTGTGTAAGTATCGCAATTCATGAGAGACAGCCCGGTGACAGACGAACAGAGAGATAGCGGAGTCTTAGTAATAGGGTCCCGTTTTACCCTTTGGGTACGGAACCCTAAAACTCACTTCCGCATATGTAACTGTTCTGTTTGTAA